CAACAAAAGCCAGCGATGATAAGTCACTGTTTTAAGACTAAGGACTTTTCAGTTTTTATGTTTTGTCGTTCTCTTGTTGTAGCAACAAAAGATGTCTTCTTTTCTTCATGTTTTTAGATTCAATAAATAAATAAACCTCAATCAGAAAGCTTAAAGATTCGAATGGAACACTACAGTCTGAGACATAATATATAAATATATATAGGCTGTGAATGTTAATACACATTAAGAGTAAATGTTTTAGCTGAAAATCTAATTTATTCTCATTTACTCTACGAAAAGATAGAAAGCATCAAAAAGATAAAGAAATTTTACTCCACTTATGTTAGGAATAAGTGGGCTAAAACAATTTTACTCTAATTTTTTTTTTCCCCTCACTTTTGTTTCCTCTCTCCCACAATTTTATATAATAAAATTTTGTTGCTACTAATATGGAACGTTATAGACGTTTGTTTAGTAATATATATACTTGTTAGCCATCAACAATGTTTTTAGTTTTAAGATCATTTCCCCACTTGAAGTAATAAAGGTATTTCGACCAAAAAAAAAAAAAAGAAGTAATAAAGGTGTATTGAATGCATTTCACGTGACATCATTTCCACTGCATAAGTCACAAAGCTGTCCAATTTTGACATATTCATACACGAGTAGGCCTGAGATCAGAAGAAAAAATATAATATTTATAATTCAATTTATTTTTGACAAATATATAATTTTACGATTTATTTTACTTAAAAACATTTTGGATTTCTAAAATGACGGATATCCAAATTTTTCTGAATTCGATAAATTATTAAAAAATAAAAAGTGAAAAATTAAAATAGTAAAAAATGAAATATATATATTTTATTTAAAAAAATATATTTCAAATAAAATTAGTATCTAGCTATTTTTACTATAAATATATTTGCTAAATATATTTAAAAGTAAAAATGTAAATATACGTTATAAATCTATCATATTATATACATATAAATAATATATGAATCAGATCGGATATTCGGATTTTTAAAATTAGCATATGTGATTTGTTTCGGTTTAGATGAATATTAAATTTTACTATTTGTTTCGCTTTGATTCAAAATAAATATCCAAATTTTTCGGATAAGATCAAAATAAATACCGAATCGGATCGAATTTAATGGACAATTTGTCTAGTCCTAGATCCAGGTTCGGTTTGCTAGGTGTTTTTATAAATCTCCCGTCGCATTGACATCCGTCCCTTAACATTATTTTAATTATTTTTTCCATAGTTTTAATTTAAGTTATTAAAATATTGAAAAATTGCACTCCATGACAAAGGATAAGTCAGTATTTAGGAATATAACAATTGCACTGTTACAGACACTGTTAGAGTTTCGTTATACATATGTTAATCAAATCTATAACAGTTAATAATTTAATTAGCACATTACACAAAAAATTAACCATACATTTAAATATTTATCTGGTATAATATACTATATATTAGCATGTTACACTGCAAGTTAGACATACATTAAAATATTTATCTCATATAAAAACATTGTTAGCATGTCACAAAAATAAATAACGTGTTATCTATATATATACTTGTATATTTTTCTATAGCTTGTTTCTTATATATTTGACAGAATAAAATATTAATTTTATTATTTCGTCAACTAACGTTAAAGTAAGGATAAAAACGTCAAAACTCATACTAACACAAATAGTGATTTAAGCATTTTGTCAAATCATTGTTACTTTACTAATTATACTCCT